GCTTCTGTAGCTAGTAAAATCGCAGGAGTGGTAACATTAAAAAAGGTAGTAACAGAAGGAAACTGTTAAAATAATTTTTGCATTATACGTTGCATTATTCGTCAAGAAGCACATTGTGCCAAAATTTTTGCAGAAGAATTAATGTATAATAAAATAAAAGAATCGTACAGTTAATTGAATTTTAAATAAATATGTTAACTGAAAATCGTAAAATTAATTCAGCGTTGAATAAATAGGTTAATATGACTGTGCGTTTATGTGGTTTTCCTCGTGAGTAACATGCATCCGAACCAGTTTCCTGTAGAAAGTCCTCCACGAAGGCATCCTTCCGGATCATTCAGGCTCAAATCGTGAAAAAGGCATGGATGTAATTTGTGCGTCCCGTCATAGGAGGCAACGGTGGCCCACCTGTTACGTGCCTCAATAACAAAGTGACCACAGCTTCAGGTCTTAGTAGCGATCAAAGCCAATAAACGATTGGAGCCCACCATTGGGAGGGAAAAAAGTTTCTTTAACTCCTTAGGTACTTACGTATTAAAACAACCACCTTAGTTGAAGGCGCCAAATTTTCAGAATGTGCCAAACTCTGGCAAGCATGCGCATAACCATTCTGCCATTTTCGTCTGCGTTCATTTTTGTTGTATTCCAACTTCCAACAGTTTTTTATAAAAAATCGTGGTCTTTTTTGCCTTAAACTTAGTTTTAAAATATCAGATTGTGGAATTTGTCAGCAGTGGAAGAAATTGCTGTAAAATATCTGCAAGAATACAGAATTTTGCTGAAATGTTTTTAAAAAGAACAGCCAGGAAATACGTTTCCTCGATAGCCGTTTTCAAGGAAGACAAATGTTCAAAATTATCTGATGTTTTTTTTAAGCGAAAACAGATTGCTGTGAATTCGGGAGAAGAATAGTACAAAAAAAATGGCAGAAAGATTTGAGAAATATAAGTGCTTTATTTTTTAATGTATCACTTAGTCCTTAATTAATAATTCAAATTTGTATTTTAAATTTCTAAAGTTTGTTTATTGCTAAAGCGCCAAGAACGTGATATTTAATAAAATAAACGCACAAAATGATGATAATAAAAAGACAAAAAAGCTTTGTACAGCCATCTTGGTAATAAAAACGAATATCGATGAGGAAAGACTGAAAAAAAAATCTGATGTGTACACCACATGACTTCCTTGTACGGAATATTAAATTATACGCATTTTTTCTTGTATTTCATTTAAACTTATTAGATTGAATTAAACCTACTTCGCCGACAGCGCATAAACCACAATAGAATAAATGCATTCTTTAAAATTCACTTTGTTTACCATAGCGACACCCTGGCGCTAGGTTCACTTAACAGTATTATATTTCGTTCGTATTATAACTCAGAATGCACAAAATTTATATCATTTAAAGAATAGAATTATCTAATCATTGCCACATTAGAATGATGTATAAAAGAAATTAAGCAAGCAAAACAAAAAAGAAACAGTTTTCACAGACGATTAAGTATTTCTCATTTAATTAATTCAGTTGTCACTTTGCGAGAAGGCAAAAATACATAAAAACTCAAAATATCTATATTAAAAATTACGAAGTAAATCTCAAACGCTTATTTTCTCGAAAAAATTCCAGAAAGAATTAAGCATGATTTAATTGGCAATAATAAATGAATGCGTTATCTTTGTTGTTGCGAAGCTAAGTTTCTTTAGATTGGCAACAAATCCACTAGTCTCCTGTTTAAAATGTAAACATCAATGCCCGCCATTAGAAAAGGCTTAGCGGCAATTAAACAACTTTAAAATTGCTGATAATTCTAAAAATATTGCACACAGATTTACTAAAGGCATAAAATCCTTAACCGGAAGATAAAAACAGCATAATTCAATCATTTTTAAAGCAAAAAATGTACAATTTACAAACATATAAGAGTAAAGAAACTAAGATCACTGAGCCGGGTAACAGAGTGGATATATATATAAATATATTTATATACGTTTGGTGCGGCCGATTGCAACCAAAACACGAGGTGCACATCTACATGTTATAGCAGTCCTATATACAAAATTTCAATGTTCTAAGGCTACTCGTTTTCGAGTTATGCGAGATACGTACATACGTTCGTACAGACGCCACGAAAAATTCTCTTCAGAATTCATTTTAAAGCAGTTTTATAATTTTTTTGAAGGAAAAGAGTCTTTTTATTCTGTCCTTAAGTACAGATATCACGCAAAAGCATCGTTAAATTGCACTCGATAGCGGTCAAAATGGATATTTTCGTTGAAATATGCTGCCTGAAACTTTTCGCGATTACAATACTTCCTTTTTACTCCGTAGAAGGAAGTAAAAAAAAGCAGAAAAATGTATGCTGCATGAGACATTAGATTATTTCGAAGCACAAGAGATGAAAAATATGCACTGCCCCCTCATCGGGTCTCGAACCTCGGATCTCTCGAATTCGCGCCGAGCTTGCTGACCACTACACCCACGAAGACATGCTAAGTAGAGGGGAGGAATACTTTATAATGCGAACACTTAACACTGCGTAGATAATTCTAAGCTCATATTGTTATGATGTTTTTTAAAATGTTTCAGTCCAAAGGGCGTTAGCCTAGAAGGACTATTAATTTTGTTTTTGTCAATTTGCGTTGAAAGCTTTAAAAGGCTATATCGCTTTTCAAATTGTTGCCACCAAATTCTTAGAGTCTTTATTTAAAGAAATTAAATAATGATGAATCTGTATGAATGTGTGTATGTTTCTCGCATTGTGAAAAAACAATGGTACCTACAAACATCAAATTTTGAATAACGTAGTCTTCCACTCGAATAGGGTCATCTGGAAGCCCAAATTTGGAGTTTGTTTTATTATCTATTTCATATTTTATAAAACATTTAACGAATTTTTGATTAACAAATTCAACGTTTCAAAGCATTCCATTAACATTAACGTAGCGTGCATCTTCCAAGCACTGATATTTCATGCGCGTGGTTTCCCTACATTTCTTACTGATATTATGTTGGTAGCGCAGAGACTTTGCAATATACCGTCAGATAACGCAAAGACTTTGCAATATCTGACGGTATATAGCGTGGAATGACTATGAGTGTCTGTATCAGTTTTCAGATCCCGTTTTGAATCTCCCGGGAATAAACGCCCCTTTGGCAGCAATATAAAATCCGAAAGCCTTCAGATTTTTTTTTATTTTGCTGTTGAATTATGTATGACGTAAGTGTGAAGAAAATTATGCTTAATAATAAAGCTAAAAGTTTTTAAAAAATGGGTTAATAGAAGTGGAACTGCAGACTAGTAGACTGCGAGCTCAACAAGAGCGTAAAGAAACCTTAACAAACCCATTTGAGCCACAGTTAAAATCAGAAACCTTTCAGGTGTTGGTGTGTTGAGTTATGGCAAAGCACACGAGGGCTATCTGCCTAAGGGGAGGGATGCCTTCGTGGAGGACTTTCTAAAGGAAACTGGCTTTATTCTATAATATACTTGCGAATTACCCAAATCAAACAACTAAATAATAAAAACAAATTTCCTGTACATTTTTATCTCCAATCTTTAACCTTCCTCCATTAAAAAATATTCTGGAGAAACCGGTGTTATTATTTTATTGTATTATATTTTATTTTTATTTCTTTTTTTACCATCCTTTTTTTTCCCCTTTACAGTACTATTGTACTTTTTTTCGTTGGTGTTGTTAGTGCTATAACTGTCTTGTGTAAACCTAGAATTATAATTAACAAAACAAAAACAAAAAAAAGAAAGAAATGGTGTTTAATTTTTTCACTTTTTACTAATTAATAACTATAATAGAAATTAATTAATTAATTAAAGATTCAAAGCAGTATCCAAAATAAATAAATTCATCACTGTTATACAGTTTTCTACAGATGTTAAGTAAAAAGTGACAAATAAATAAACGGTTTTCCAGCAAAGCAAAAAAAAAAAAAAAAGAAAGAAAGAAATGGTGTTTAATTTTTTCACTTTTTAGTGATTAATATATATAATAGAAATTAATTAAATTGGTTAGAGCCAAATGATTTTAATTTAACATTCACGTGTTAAAAATAATAATAAGTTTTAACAAAAAAAAAAAAAAAAAAAAAAAAAAACGAAATGAAATTTTTCAGATTTTAAATTACGTCCAAAGGGGCGTTTTTTTTAACGTTTTGAGTGTTACCTTTATTTATTAAATATCATGTTCTTTGCACTTAAACCATAAAATTCAGTTCAAGAGCAATATCGCAAAATAATGTTAAATTAAGCATATCTTTAGAATTTCCGATATACACAGTCTCGCGAGCTGGAGATAAAAGTATTTTTTTTTTATATATAACGTTGCCATTTCTCGCTTTTAAAGCATTGAGTTTGTAAATCAAAAATTCGTTAAAGTTTTACAAAATATAAAATCTATAATAAAACAAATTCCAAATTTGGGATTTCAGATGCCCATATTCGCAGTAGGATTTCGTCATTCAAAATTCGATGGCTCTATGTACCATTGTTTTATCACAATGCGAGAAATAGACAATCATTTATGCAGATTTTTCATTATTTAATTTCTTCAAATATAATGCAGGACTCTAACATTTTGTGGCAACAGTTTGAAAAGTGAACCGACGTTTATGAGTCCGACGCAAAATGCCAAAACGAAAGCAATAGTCCTTCGGGACTGAAATCCCTTTGGACTAAAAAAAAAAAAAAAAAAAAAGAAGTTTTAATTTCACTTTACGAAATAAATATAATAGAAATATATTATAAGTCAGGATCTCCAAATAATAATTATCCGAGTACGTACAGACAGATGTTACATAAAAAGTGACAAATAAATAAACGGTTTTCCAACTGGCGACATGGTTTAAATGATATCGATCGCCTTCATTCTCCCTCTTACGCACTCATGCGTCTACGCACGCAAACCGTTAGCGCCTATTGTGCGAGGCATCGAACAAAAAAAGGCCCCTCAGTTTTGAAGTTGCTGGATATGTCGGTGAAGTGAAACCACTTGATGTCGCAATCTCGATGCAAGTGGTTTCACTTTCACTTACATACTTCACTTACATATTTCACTCGATACACTTAGCTCTAAAGGTCGACGAAGGATTTCCTGAGAACTAGTTGGCAATGAGAGAGATAAAGTGAGAGGTGCAGATACACTATTTCCCTTTCGTCTTACTTCGGCAGAGGAAACTGCTCAAGGTGTACACTTGAAAAATCGATAAAGCGGTGGGAATCAAGAATGGCGCTCGGAAAGATTTGCTTCCTTTTGACGATCGCTTGCATCCTGACACTGATTGCGGAAAATACGGAAGCCAGAGTAAGTTTGCGTACATTTTTATGAGATTTTATTCATGAGTAAGGTTATATTAAGTTATATAAAGTCAATGGGAATTAATTCCCATTGACTTTATGTATGCTTGTAAGATTAGGTTTTATAGGTATCAGCTTTGGTAAGAGATTTCTTCGAAAATTTCACGATTAGCTTATAAATATTCATTTCTGTAGCTCTTTTTTCAAGTTATTGTAAATATTTTTTAATATAAGGGTGTTTCTTGATACACCTGTTTAAAATTTTGTTTATTATTTAAATTAACACCTATTACTTTTCCTTCTAGTCAAAATCATAGCATTAAATCGCTCATTATTTTATGTCAATTTGAATACGTATAAAAGACCCTTTCAGTATGAATTATATTAGATTGTGTTTTATCTTGTTCGCGCATAAAAAAAAAAAAAAAAAAAAAAAAAAAACCTTTTATATCAGTAATACCATTAATGATAACATAAAGGTTATTTAAAGCAAGTTTATTAGCAAACAACGCCAATAATAATTTATTTAAATTGCACATTATGTAAGTATTAAAAGAAACTATTTAAATACAAACTCTAAAACAGATTTTTAAATTAGCTTTTGAAACATATTCATATTTCATAAACTCTTAATAATTACACCAAACTACCAACCTAATAGTTACCACATATTTAAACACCAAACGTGTAGTGCAGAGTAAAAACTTTTAATAAAGAGAAGTATAAATGCAGAGACTTTTGTTTTCAGAATAAAACATATGTAAATTATATACTTGATTCGAATGTTCTGATCATTCATTTTGTTTAAAGATTTTATAGTTATAAAAGTAGATCTAAGTAAAGAAATTTAGCTTATGTGTTCTCTATAATTAAGCAATATTTTATTTCAGTTACTGCTTCATAATTTAACGTTTCATATTTTGAAGTTTTTTTTTTTTTTTTTAATTCAAAATAAGCAATTGGGTTTAATTAAAAAATAGTATTAAATAGTTAAACTCAGTTCCCCCCAAGAAGATCTTAAATTAGCTATTGGTTATGAAGTTATGGATTTTATTTATTTTTTTAAACTGTCTTTACCTGTTAATATGAATACTGGCTATAATCCCTTTAATATACCTCACATGACATCTTTCTTACGATATATGAATTTCAGGTAGTTTTCTTAGTACTTTATATAAGTATTCTGCAAATTTCTTTGCATATTTCAGTTTATTAATTAACGTTTCATTATATTTATGTATTATTTTCTTGCTAGGATTTAAAAAATAACTAAAACGTTTTATCCCGTGCATTCACCTTTTTAAAAAAGTAATATTCGAATAAAAGTTACGAAACTTTCCTGCAGTCTTAGTCTGGTGCTCTACTGCGTAAACAATACTTCCGAGAGAAGTATAGAATTACTTATGGACTCTTAAAATGAATGGTACATGTGTCTCTGGCACGTAGGAAGTCTTGGATGGTGAAAAGAGACAAAACTTTTAATGGAAAGCCATTTTTCGTTATCGACAATCACATGAGATCAGCTTTTTTCTGGTCTTATTTTTTAGCACCTTGAAAAATTTAAAATACCGAAACTTTTATCTTTTTAATATAAGACATATTTTGAGGTACTATTTTGGCCTTCATCACAGTCTTATGAATAGAAATAAGGTAATAGATTCAATCTCTTACTTAAGTTTCACGTAAAGTTAAGTAGTCAGTAATTAAACTGATAATCATTTTAAATTTTTATCACAAATACAATACCGTAAGATACAATAACTTTCAATAAGAAAAATGGGTACTATTCGGTTCTGAGGGCCGTAAAAAATCGCCAAACTATTGTTGATGCCAATGCTACCAAAAATAATTGCGGCAAGAAAGGAAGTATAATAGTGTTACGAATTTGGTATTTAAAAAGCAAATGTTAGTTCAATTATAAATTAAATGGTTTTATTTCTCGCGCAGTGCAGCGCGTGACGAATATTAAAAGAAAGCTAAGCCGGAAAATTGAAAATACAAGAGCGCGTGCATTAAATAAATAAATAACTCTTTTTCATTTCGAGAAAGTACTGGAAAATTCTAGCGCGTGATTTTAAAATGTTATAAAAGGAGGAAAACATCTCAGTTCGTAGTAGTTGCTTAGTTTGTTGTTGTTTAGAAAACTACTGTTGTTGATTGTAGCGAATTCGCGGATTAGCGTTCTTTAGCTGTTTTGAATTACGTTCTATTGACATTTGAGTAGTTAAAAGAAAACTACTGTGAGATATTGTAATACTGCATGATAATTTGAGAAAATTTAAGCATTTTGTTATGTGATAATAATATAAATTTTGTTCATTTTTCATCGGACTTGTGCATTCATTTCATAACGAACCCGTACGCACGCAACAATTTTTGGTGTCAGAAGTGGGATTTGAATGCCAATAACAAGAGCGATGGAAGAACAATTGAGACAGCTCATTAGTGCTTTTGCTGCATTCCAAGAAAAGATGGAAGCTGGCCAAGCATCATTTAAAGGAAGAGATGAAGGACTCTGTTAAATCAGAAATGAAACGTGCCAGGAATCCGTTAAGGACAAATGAAAGCCGTTCAAATGTTGGAAGCTGGTCAAGAACTTTTAAAGAAATGAAAACGCTGTACAGGAAAAGATTGAAGCAGGTCAAGACGAAATGAAAAGATAAATTGCCTGCATAATATAAACTAAATTCGAAGGCTATGGAAGGCAGAATTGACGCAGTTGAAAATAAAGTTGGACATATTGAAGAAAGAGTTTCTTCGGTGAAAGAAGAAATAGAAGAAAGAGTTTCTTCTGTAAAAGAACAAATTGATGAGAGAGTTTCTGCAGTTTGCCAAAGAAATGGATACTTTAAAGAAATTCGTAGCGTCGGCAGGGGAGCAGGAGTGTGATGATTTTAAATTCTTACCAATGCCTGCTCGTCCACCTCTGAAGCTATCCACATATGATGGGAAGACCTCCTGGCAGGTGTATAAGACACAATTTTCTATCGTGGCGGATGCGAATGGATGGGATTCCCAAACTAAGGCCTGTCATCTCGCCGCTTCTTTGAGAGCAGACGCAGCGGATATCCTTCAGACTCTTCCCCGAAAACAAAAGGTCAGATTTCGAAGCTCTGTCCGGCGCCTTGGAGCTGCGCTTTGGGGAGAAGTGTTTAAAAGACTACTGCAGGCTCCAATTAAAATCTCGTCAACAGAAGCCTACCGAAACACTTCAGGAGCTCGCCATGGATGTTGAAAGGCTGTCTCACCTCGCCTTTACGGAGTGCCCGAGAGAAACGAGGGAAATCCTGTCGCTGCAATATTTCATCGATGGCATCCGGGACCCTGAAATACAGAAAGCACTGCGAATGGCGGATGTAAAAGATTTAAAAAGCGCTCTAGTGTACGCCATGAAGTTCGAGGCAGCCCAGGAAGCAACTAATAGAGATCGCTACCCAGTTAGAGCTGTGCGAGTCCATGAGCCAGTGGATCAACTGATGGCTCGTTTAGATGATTTAGCCAGACAAGTCGATGCTTTGATACGGAGTAGCAGTGAGAACAAAGTAGCTGTAAGCTGTTGGAGATGTGGTAGTGAAGGTCACCTAAGACGGAATTGCAGAACACCCCAGGGTACGGAATATAAAGCAGATGATTTTACCAGACAAGTCAGTGGCTTGAGACGGAACAGAAGTGAAAAGAAAGAAAGTAGTTCTAAAGTGCTGGAACTGCGGAGTTGAAGGCCACATACGAAGAAAGAAACTGCAAAACACCCCGAGGTACGGAAAATAACACCACATTCCCAACAACGACGCAGTAAATAAATTAGTGACCATATCGAGGAACGGAGGTTGCCAGATAATGAAAAATCTTGTTTTAAAGCGCTTAAAATTTATACAGTGAGTGGCAACAGTAACGGACTGTCCATTAATGGGAATATCGATGGAGTTCCTTGCAATATGATCATTGACACAGGAGCTAATGTTACCATCATTAGGAAAGATTTAGCTGAACAGTTTAAAGATAAACTTATTTGGACGCCATCCTGTGTTACCCTTCAGACTGCGTCTGGTGATAAGATCAACATAACTGGGAAGTTAAACGTAAACATCACGTTTGGAAGTGCCGCCTACCATCACACGGCTTATGTGGCGGATATCACAGATCCATGCATACTCGGATTGGACTTTTTAAGGAAATACAATTTTACCTTAGACTTGAAAAACAACAAACTGCTTTCAGGATCTGAAGACATGACTATCCATCCTATGAAGGGATCCTCACCTGGAAATGCCGACGCTTTGTCCGAAAGAACCAGCTCGCGAGAAAAACAGCCGAAATCATGCTAGGGTCGAAAAGAAACACCAGACTACCAGCTATTCTCCATCTCAGATGCTCTTCGGTCAAGACATTCGTCTGCCTTGTGACCGCCTGTTTCATCGCCGTACGGATGCGCCTTCATCGCCTGAGGAACACATCCAAGATGTCAAGGCCCGTTTTGAAGTGATGCACCGTTCCGCACGAAAGCGAGTGAACTTGGCGACGGAGAAAGTGAAGACCAGATACAACGCGAGAGCTACTGGACATAGATTCAACAAAAGAGACAAGGTGTGGTTGTGGAACCCGATTCAAGGAAAAGGACTCAGTCCTAAACTACAGTCACCTTCGGATGGTCCATGTAAAGTGCTGAACAGACTGAATGACGTCTCCGTAAGTCTTCGAACTCTAAACCTAAAGTCGGTCATTACGACAGGTTAGCTCATTACTATGGCCATAGTACATAATGTAAATAATTGTAAATAGTATAAGACCATGGTCCTTTTTGTTTTTTAAATGTGTATTTGATTTGATTTGTATTTAGTATTTGATTTGTATTTAGTATTTGATAGCATTTGATTTGTTCAAGTTAGTTATTGCATTTATTGTTCATGTTGTTTGATATTGTAATGTAATGTTTATGCCACAGTTGTAAGTTTAGCTTCCTATCCAGGGATTGTACTGCCCGGGACGTGCAGTCCTTGGGAAGGGGGC